CTTTTTTTATCTAAAAAATATATTTGTAACAGAAAATTATAATATATTTTTAGCAAAAAATTATCTTCTATTTTAGTTCGCAGTTGGCCATGAAAAAATGGTGCATCTTCAACTAAAAGAATTTAAACTACATATATTATTTAACAAGTTTCTCTAAAAGATGAGACAGTGGTGGCGCAGAGCGCCACCTGTCGGTGTGTTGTGCCTCTTTTTCACAAGTTTCTCTAATAAAAGAGGTTTCTAAGCATTAAGTAATGAAAAAAAAAAAAAAAAATATTTCGTAAACCTACTTATTGGCGACTAACAATATTTCTTTGTTTTTCAAGAAGTTAGCATTACCATTGTAACTTCTAGTGACACATAGAGTGTTGTAAAAAAAAACCTTTGAATTTTTCAATAAAACATTATGTGACACAAAAATGATGATATGGGTATTCAAATATCCAAATTCCGTCTATGTAAAACGTTATTCTACCTCCATTAAACCATCAAAAATATTTTTTCTAATTGTGTTGATTGTTGACACACTTGTTTTTTCTATTTCTGAATTTTTTTTAAATATGTAATATTTTTGTTATGAGGCGCTCGCATATTTGTCCGATACTTCTAAGGTATCGTATTTTTTATTTTTATAGTTTTAACAATTGTTTTATCAATTTCACAGTTCACAAAACTCTTATTGATTATTACACATTTAAAGTGAAATAGTTTTTTCATGGCCAACTACTATAAAACAAAAAATGTATTTAATTTCTAAAAAATAATTATAAAAAATATTCTGTTACAAATATTTCTAGATCAGAAAAAAATAAGCTTTTCAAAATTGCTATAGCCACCTATGACTTCCATTAAAAAAATACAAGTTTATCTAATTACGGCTAAACAAATAACGAAAAAAACTGTTAACTACATTAAATTCTTTGTCTTTATTTTAAATTCGTATCTTCTACAGATATGATTTTTTTTATATTTCTCTAAAATGTTAACTTTTGTCTGTATAGATGCGGCTTTAACCAATATTATTTCCTGAAAAACTGAGCCCCAAAATTTGTCACTCGTTTTTGGCTAAACCCTTTAGTTCGGTGATGCCCTATTCGGACATCCAAAATGGAGAACAAGTACAGCGTGTTTTGTCAATACTTAATTAATTGATAAAAAATCATTTATTTACAAAAAATATTTAAAGCCATTATAATACATTACAAGTTAACGTAAATAAAATTTTCCAAAAATTGTAATAAAGTTCATGTTTCTTAATGATTGCTAAAATGCCAAAACCGCTTAAAAATAAAAACTTTCTCAGACTGCACCAAAGTTATATATTTTAGAGTCAAATTTAATCACTTACGCCCGGTATTTCAGTACAGGGTTAAGATCCAGGGTAACTAACCATGGTTAAATCTTAACCTAAATTTTATCCCTGAGTGCGTATTTCAGTGGTGGGAATTGGTTTAGTGGATATTGGGTTAAATTAACCAAAATTCTCAATTTTTGGTGGCTACACTCAGTCTAGGAACTTAAATTGCGCATGCGCTAGTTGCATTTTGTTTTGAATTTTGAAGTTTTGTTTGTTAAAAATGAAAAATATTATTAACATTATTGACACGACTAAGAATTGATTTATCTTCCAAAGACGAAGAAACTCTTCATTTCGTCCTGCATTTGAATCGGCCTCGCAGAATTCCGCGAAGACCAGTTCGAAGAGACCATTTTAATTATTAGGATGATAACGAATTCTGTAGAATTGTTACAAATAATAAACGATCAAATTCAATATCTAACTTCTGTCTAATAAGTAGGGTTAGCAAAATTTGAACACTGCACATGAGTTAACTTGAAAAAACTTGGTTAACCTGACGTATTTCTTCGGTCAAATTGACGGCAAATTTAACGGCGGTTAAATCTTACCTAAGCACTGACATACACCAAACCAGCACCCAGAAACATGTCCCAACTTGACTAAATAAAAATTTATCGATTTGTGGAGTTGACTTTAATATCACTTACTCTGTTTAAAACTATAAAACATCCACTTTGGGAAGAAAATGGATCGAGTTCAACAATTAAAATTTTTATAATTTAACAGTGTTGTAATTTATACTTTAACTAAAATTAACAAAGATTTGGTAAACATTTAATTATAGAATGAATAACTCCAGTTTGACAATTTTTTTAATTTTTAGAAAAAAAGCGTCATTACCTATGTACTATGTACTTTTATGTGACCTTATGAAATATTATAAGGCTTACAATGCTACTTTAGTTCTTTTAACTCATATTAGAGTGGAATACTTGTGTTACTTTGCAGTTGGAGAAATTTAAGAAACTTGTGTAAATGTCTTTAAGGCCATTTCTTATTCTAATGACAAAAAAATACCAATAATCGCGCTATGTCGTTTAAGATAGTAGCCAAACTTTACGCGTTTTATGTGAGCGCATACATTTAACTTCATTCGTGCATTAAGTAAACGAGTTTGCCTTTGTTTTATTGTTATAAGTGCATCTTAAGTTATAAATATGTTTTAAAAGTGTAAAGTCTGATACTTAAAAACATAGCGTAAGCTTTTAAACAATCGAGAGAATGCATTAATAAAATAAACTCCATTTTGAAAATCAGATTAAATTTTGTTCTTTTTTATTTATCAATGAAAATAGAGTGAGTATGCAATTTTAAGATACATTTATCTGCGATTGATTGTGTAAAATGGACTGGTGAAAGTGTGATGATGCGATTGAGTATCGAGGGAAGTTGTTTGATTCACAAGACGAATGCTGGTGTATAAATGCAGTTTCTTTGTAGTTGTACATACATATATCTAATGGTGTATAAAGTATCCGGTACCCGGTACCGCCCTGGCAACACTCCGAGCGACAGTAAATTAGAGTGGGTAGTAAACGTTTAGGCCTCTCGGGCAAGACGTGAAGCATTGTCGATTGCAGCAGGTGTTATTGTTGTCACTATAAATTATTGGCACAACTTTACCTGTTCATAATGCCCTCGCTTCTGCAATTATGTAAATTCACTACCACACTAATTACACGTTCAACATAAGCTCCTTGCACTTGAATGAATCAATAACAAAAATTATTATAGATGTTTAGAAACGTTCATTATATTAAAGGGACATTTCCAAACATACGACTCACTATAAATCTGAATTCTCTTTCACGCTTCCTGCCTTCTCCACGAATTTCCCTTTAAATATGGATGTTTAATTCTCTTCCAAAGTAGATTCCTACGTGCTTATATTATTTCAGCCACTTTCAAACAAACTTCATAACTACACGTCGGTGGAAAACAATTTTTTTATACGTTTTTCTTTCTAATGCCAATTTAAATATAGCACACATTCCGATTTAATTACCAATCAAATTATCAACAAACTTAATTAAGAATTGAATAAGCACTTTTACGCAAATGGAGACTTCAAAATTCTTGCAAATTTTATTGATTAAGTGGAATTGGAAAAAGTTGAACAAACCTACGTCATACTGATAAGTGATAAACCGCAGGTAACACCAAAATTGGTCGATAGTTGCTCAGAGTTTGTTCACTAAACCTCCCTATATTTAGTCAACATTTAATTGTAAATACAATTTGAGTTTGAGAAATTCTTTTGTTGCTCTTGTTACCCATCACTAATCTGGAACAGCAAAAACGTATTTTATATGCGAAAAACTAACTGTGTGAATAACTTAGTTATGTTTTCAAGTCAGAAATGAGTAGAAATTTGTGTGAAAAGTTTTGATAAGCAAAGCCAGCCGATTTTTTTAATAAATATATTTCCATTCAAAGTTTGTAAAGTTTTCATTTTCTGAAGGTTGATTTAATCAAAAACTGTTTATTCACTGTACAGAGTAAATTGTTGCCAAAATGAAACTTAATCGGGCGATAACATTAAAAAAAAAAAGTTATATATAAATATATATAAATGTTATATATGTTATATATATTTTAAACCAATTGCACCATCTGAAACAAAAAAGAAAAAAAAATAGATTTATTAAGTTATTTCATTTTAGAAAGGATTCCACTAGTATTCACTACTGTACGATTTCAAAAGCACAATAAATAGAAGTGCACATATCACATACGTTTGATCATATTTACAAAGAAAGGTAATGGAAGAAAAGCTAGCATTTAGAGACGCAACATTGCATAAAATCATTGCTTTTGGTCTGAGGATTTAATCTAAAGTTTAAATGGTAGCATATAACATTTTGTTTTGAAAATGTGACTAAGGATGGTTATAATTAGTTGGGATTTCCTAAATTTGTGAAGTTAGTGGTTTTAATAATCGCCAGTTTTGGGCCATTTTGCTTAGAGTAATAAAACAGGCAAACAAAGGCCGGGTCGAATAATAAAGTACTGTTTAGTCGAATTAGTTGAACAGAATCTTAGTCGGAAGTAGCCGGCGAGAGTCAGCTTCGCAATAATACTAAAACAGCAATAGCAAGTTATAGCAGGTCCGTTGCGAACGAGTACCATACGTTCGTTACTTATCGCTTTAAGGTCTGACGATTTCAGTAAATGCTCATAGTGAGCTCGAATAGCCTAAACTCATATCCCAAAGGGTAGACCATTTAAAGGTTTTAAGATGCAATCATGGACTAACTTGTCGATAAAACTTTTCTATCTTATTTTAATATAAATTTGCATGTTTTTGTTAATCCCTCCTTGAGACTAGAAAAGAATATTGGAAGAGTGACGGCTGGTTGAAGTGAGTTAATTTGAAAGAGTTCTCGAACCGCAAGCGAAGGCGGCTGTCCGTACACGCCGCGAGTCTCCGAGACACGACAAACTGTTTTAACTCAAGTTTTAATAAGTTAAAGGATTAGCCTTAGGCTGTCAGAGGTTTTTCTATTAAGACATTACGTCTTTCAATCCCTTACATCAGAAATGGGGTCGCATTGAAATGTGATTTTTATGTTAAACTTATTTAAATTTCTTCTTCTTTGTAATTGTTTACTCGGAAATTAATGGCGATTTCTATCAACAGGAGCGGCCTTCCAACCCGAATTTGCAGAACCCATTGTTAATCTAACCATCCCTATGGGACGAGATGCCACTTTCCGATGTCTTGTCCACCATTTGGGAGGATACAGGGTAAGTTCTATAACCCTACTTTACTATCAGTTCTCTCTATTTCCATCTGTTTCATTAATACTCTCAACTTAGAGCTGATAATTAAACATTAAACCACCACCATGTCATCCAATCTACGAAATAACAAAACACTCCATAATTCAAAACTAATTAACCTACACACCACAATCCTAACATTAAATTGCCAATTTTATTTCTTTTATTCACACTTTAACACCGCAAACAATTCCAATAAAAATTCTTTTATATCCGCAGCTAAGGCTGCTTTATTGGTGATAATTTTCACACTGGGATTATTATAAAATATGACACTATGCAAAATACCTTGTTTTCAATGGCAATTATTATCCTTTCACACTTTACTCTACCATTTATATTCCTATTGTATTTTCTAAACACAAATATAAACATTACTTATATTTGATTTCCTTTGTCACGAAACTTTTTTCTCAGTTTAAAAAAACATTCAAAATACACCCATTAAAAATGGACTCGCATCCTCTTATACTCCAGTGGGAATCGCACACTTTCTGATTCATATATTTTTTTATTGACATCATCATCCTAAAGAGCTGCCAGTGCTTTAAAATCAATACGACCTACATATTGCAATAATGCCAGTTAGGACATCCGTGTGGTTTAAAATATTAAGGGAATTTATACTTGTTTCTGCTTACGCATTTTAATCACCGGAGAATATCTCCACGCATTTTTTATGCACAGGCATACCGGAATCATTTCACGAACTCAATACCAAAATAGTCACTTTACTCGCAAACATTTGAAATCGCTTGATTTACAATAAAGGTTTCGATTTTCTAACTGAAACGATGAGAAAAACGATATAGGTCCCAATTACGACTTTGCTGTTTTTTTATAAATCAGTTCGATGGATGAAAATGTCTAAACATTAAGTGTCGAATATACTAGCCTGCAAAACTTGAAATATATCTATCTCAAATTTAAAATTTCTAGTGTTGTTCTTCTCCTTCACCAATTCACATGTAAATACAAATAGTAAAGTTTTGCTTATTTTTATCTAAAGATGATCAACATTTAAAAATTTAAACCTAAAAACGTAAGAATGGTCAGATAATTTTACATATTTAAATTGTTAGTTACTTTTATTTTTGTTATTGTTCTAATTATGGCTGCTTTACATGATTGTTAACTTAGAGAAATTTAAAAAAAAATTTGGCTTTATTTTGCCTGGAGCTTTGTGTGTGGTCGTAAAACTAAACGTTGATAAAAATGTGTCTTTTTAATATTTCTTATCAGGAGCATTTGTCATAAAAAGAACAAGTTACTTAGTCGTTTGTATCAAAGGGATTGTAGCAATAAATGTGGCAGTTGGAAACTTAAGTCCACTTAGATACTTTTCCGCCTTAGGTAAAGGCAGTAAACTGTAGATTGCGCCGTATAGAAGAGATTTGTCAAATCTCAGAGTGGATGATACACTTTGTTGGATTTTGTTAATTCATTGTCCGGAAGAAGTTTTGAGTATTTTGTAGATAAGAGGTCAATATTGATAAAAAAAATGAAAAGATCATGTGAAATTATATTTGTCGAAGGAAGTTATCTGTGGCGAAAGAACAAATAATTGAAAATGTCGAGCATGCGACGTGGCTAGGCGGGCAGCGAGTTGAGGCTGCTTCTGATAAATTGACTTCATGAGTGCTCTCCAAACCTTCTACCTGTTGCTGGCCACTAAAAACAACGCGTCTACCCATTACTATACATTTGCAGATCATTCGCTGACCGGCACCTACAAATTCAATATGAAGTCAATAGGAGCCAACGACATCGGCACAAACCGTGTTTTTAAATAATGATAATAATGCGGGACTAACGGCCTAGTTTGGGCCATATCTTTGTCATTTGGGCCGGACCGCGTTTACCAAGCATCTGTGCTCCATCAAATGTCCGGATTGATGAAGAGCAGCGCAACGGCACGCAGCTCGACGGATGTAATAATAGTGCAGATATGACAAATAGCCGAAAAGCGCCACAAACTTGGGATCATTTATAATACACACAGCTGCAAGGTATAGGTCGTGCTCGTGACCGATGGCTTCAGTTTCGGCTCCGGAACGGCTTGCTTCAGATCCAAACCCGCTATCAACCACCTCAGATCACTCACTCCAAACACATCACATGCAAATCAAGCCCGAATTAAAGCCCCGACGCGCAACACGCGCTACTAAACAAACACCAACCGAAACTATGTCATCATCATTAGATCAACACACTGTAACAACTCATCCTTCCCATATCACTCGTTTCTAAATCGGCACGTACAATTTATTAATTACCGCAAAACACGTCCAACTTAATCAAATTTCACAAAAGAATATTATTTCACTCCATAAATACACTCGATGTGTGCAGTGCAATATTACTTCTATACCGAAATATTTACAGCAACTGAAAACATGCTTACATTATAATACGATTAAAACGAAAATCTCAAAGTCGGACCTACGCCTGCCGATTTGCTTTAACTTCTACTAATAACACAAAGTATTTGAATAACCTCAAAGCAACGAAAGCACACTTTTCGCCAGACATAAATTATAAACAACTGGTACAACGTCTATATGGCAAGTACGTTGAGCTCGCAGTTATCCAAGCAAAACAGAACTATTTAAATTTTGTTCGTACAGTTTGAGTGGTTATTACTGTAGTTTCACTCGATATGTTAATACTACTTCCATTTTCAACACACTCGGATAATGTTTAACTGAACTAAAAATTGTATTACCAAAATCAGCCGCTGAAAATCACCTTATTTTATTATATGTATATCAGAAAATTTTGTTTAGCGTTTCACAGCAACTGCATTTTCTTTTTTTCAAAAAATACTTTACAAATTCTAGTGTATAAAATATATTCATTTTTTAATTCCTAGATCAGGAATGGTATTTTTGTTTTGAATATTTTTAAAATAGATTTACATCTGCTTTCGTTTAGTATTCGAACATTCCATTCGTGAAAATTCCTCTACATTTTAAAGTAAGTGTCTGAGTGAAAAATTTCTATCCAAATTAAACAAGTTATAAAATACTGAAAATGTGCAAGTAATTTAAGTCAGTCACCTCTTTTAAAACCGATTAAAACTCGAACTAAATATTAGTACTTACGAAAACCACATATTTCACCCCCTGTCATTTATTAATAATTACTTACAGGTTACACTGAATATATCATTAATTTGAATTTAGCAAATATTAAATCTCAATGTTGACAAAGTTCAAACGGATTAGCCGGATAGCACTATGAGATTTAACTTGAATCTATAATGTTACTAAATCAGCTTAATTGTGATAAATAATTACCAAAGAAATCACGTCAATTAATAATGAAACTTTAATTTTGTATATTTTTTGTATTTGTATTGAACTTGATGTTGGTATATTATTATCTTGAATAAATAAGGGCTTTAATTTTATGGCTAGTGGTAATGGTTGAAATGACGTAAAATTGTGAGATATTTAAAAATGCCTTAATGAGGGATATACGTTTTATATATCGGTCGGGAGACGAAATAAAATGCTTTAAATTACCAGTAATTTGGTAGCAAGTAAAATGCAGATGACAGTTTGAATTATTCCGGCCTTAATGAGATTATAAACATAAGAAGTTATGCACATAACGCAAATTCAGTAAACTTGATAAATGGACTTTTGGGACAAACTCATTTATAAAATTTTTTTCATATTTTTTCGGAAAAATAATTAATAAATTTTAGACACAATAATAAACAGTTACTCGTAACGAGTTTCTCCTCAAATGCGTGTCGATTAGTATTAATTTCTTGCTAAACCAAGCATGTCATCTTGACTTTGAATACTAAGCCCGAATTCTTTGAGCAGTCATTTGTTATAATAGTATCATTTTATTAAATTGCCCTCTTGGCAGGCAAAAATCGGAACTTGTTAATACAGCGCGAGAAGAATTGATGAACTCTCATTTTGTTAAAAATGCAAAATATCCATGAAAAAGCTCATGTATACAAAAAGAATTTTTTAAATTCTATATTACGACGCGATAGTGACAAAATGCTTCTATAAGGTTAAACTTAAATAACTCCCGGTAGTACAATAGAACTCTGAACGTATTCTAACTAAAATAGAGTCAGCCGTTTAAAAGAACGTAAAAAAGTTTATTTGCTTTTGTTCAAATTTTTCTAATTGCAAATTCTTTTAGAGACATACAGGCTGTCCCAGCGAGTTAAAAAAGTCCATTAGTGACCTTTAAATGGTACAATTAAAAAAATTGTATAAGACATTGGATAGATGCTAATCTAGTCCATCACCTAAAATTATTTTCAACTATACAGCATGCCCCAAAAATAAGTTACGATACAAACTTGTGTTTTTTTAAATGAAACAATGTTTTTACGCTAAACTTTTATTAGTCGATTTCGCTTAGTTTTAGAAATAGGTTTTTTTGACGAAAACATGCACTTTTAAAAAAAATTATTACATAAAAACTAAGACAGCTAGAACAAATTTTTTCTTACTTCTGCAAAGAAGAAAGTACAGCATTTAAAGCTGTAGGATTTTTTAGTGTTTGTAAAGATTAATAAATTAAGAAGTGTGTTAAAAGTTAATTAACTTATTAATTTTTATTTTTGCATCTAATAGATTGATAAATTGTCTATCTAAAAAAATAAACTTTAATATTTCACTTATCAGTATTTTTAAAATAAAATAAAAAATATTTTTAAAATTGCTTTAAGCAGTAGGCATTTTTTAAAATTGCTTTAAGCAGTAGGCATTTTTCTGTCACTGTGAATTGAGTTTATGTTTGTGTTACTATGAATTTTCTTTTGTCGCATTAGTGAGAAAAAAAAACACTTTGCAACACTCGTTTGTTTTGTAATGTTTGACATTACATATTTGATAATAGGTAAGCCCATTTTAAACAAATATTACTGTATTGAAAATTTATCATAAAGCCTGTTGATTGCATATTATTTATTATGTACGCTACAATTGATATTATATATAATATAATACAATATAAGTCAATTTTAAACTAAACAAGCCAAAGTTGTTGCAAGAATATAGTCTGGCTGATAGTTCTTTGTACTTCCATAATTTAATTTCTGTAAAATTACTAAAGTGGTTTTCAAGTATGTAACAATAGAAATTGTAAAGGTTTTCGTTAATTAGTTCTTAATTTCCGTGAAATTACTGGCTAAGAAGTGGCATTGTTGGAAAGCTTTTGATAGAGAAAATGTATCTGTGAGCACATTGTATATAGTTGTTGAGTTTTGAAAATCTGTTAGGTTTGCGGCTTAAAGATGATTTATGTTGTTAGTTTATATTTTTAATATTTAGTCAGTGTGACAGTAATATCAAGCATGCGGTGGTGAGGAACAAAATAAATGATTTGAGGACGACTCAAGGGTCTGAATTTGGCAAGCCGTTCCGTCTGTTTTGCGTTTTCGTGTTAGAAAATACATTTGCAAATGTAATTGCAGAATACCGGATCTTTATGGGGAAACATGCTTGGCAAATATTCTAAATAGGTATATTAAATAAATTTTCTTTAAATGGAATTTCGATTATTTATATCTACGTTTTGTAGAACTCACGTAGTTTTAGGTTACTTATTGGAACATATACCACCGGGTACACGTTCGAGGGATGATGATAAATATTTTCCTTCCTCTGTTCACTGTCATACCCATAAACTAGCCGATGGAAAAATTGGACGAAACACTGCTTGCCAATAAATAAAAGCTTGCAAAACAATATTGCGATTATATACCCCACTAAAATCTAACTATCGTGTTATAATTAATATCCCAGAACCGAAATTTTATGAATGAGAGATATTGTACTATAATGAAGAAATTCTAAAACGTTTATGTGTTTCATCTATTTGCTTTATGATCACTTTTTGTTAACTGTTTCTCTAA